TACATGTGTAGGTCACTCTGTGTTTCATGAAGACAGTAAAGGAGAAACGCATGAATCATACCTCTCAGAATAGGTGAAGGGGGTGTACTCTTGTTCTTTTGAATAAAAGCGAGCAATCCACTGATGTGTGAAAGAGAAGCTGCAATTTGTCCTCGTTCACCATCCCTGCGTAGGATATCAAATGCACACAAAAATGGTACCAGTGCACAAATATAACCACACATAAGCAAACAGTAAACCAGAATCAACTACTTTGCCCCGAGAGGGGAACAGCACTCCAATATTCTCGTCCCATTTGTCTCAATCGCCTGCTGTCTCGTCGGTCAGTCTTAGGGGCCTCAATGGGAATACAGAATAGAGTGGAGCTTTTTACACTTACTCAGTCTCACTGTGTTCAGTGTCTCAGTGACCTTTGTGACCTTGCTCCATGAACTAGATACAACACATCATTTACTGCACTTCAGCAACACATGCCTTTGGAAAATTCATCCAAACCACCAAACAAGAAGAGCCTTTGCTGATACATGCACAGTGTGTGCTAGATTCATCTTTTATTGAACAGGTTCTGCACTTCTGTAGCTCTTTCAGCTAATAACTCAGATCCTCATTCAATGAGACACGGAAGCATTTAAACCAGTTTTGGTTTTCAGGTTTAGGTACAAATAATGATACCTGTGATGCAAAGGGAATTTATGCAGTGTCGAATTCAGTTTAACATCTTGCCTCAAATTATCCTGTATTTATTGTGGGCTCTGACTTTCGCAGTGGAAAGCAGTTCATGCTGACCATTATCGACCCATTAATTGGAAAGTGGCCCATTGTAGTGAAAGGGCTGGGCGATATGGTCAGACAGGAAGAGATGGAGGCTGAAGATCGGCCAGAACTCTTAATTGGCAGGAAAGAGGTTTCCATGAAGTGGTCTAATGTGTTTTTTATTGGCTTGTGTGCAGTGAGTTGCTTGCTTCTTTAGGTAAAGGCATGTTTTTTTTTCTGTGTTAAGAAGAATTGCAGGTGGGAAAAAACATTTTTCTTGAGACTTTGTATCTTGATTTGTTCATGACTACAAAGGAATATAAATCACCAAAATCAAAATGTATTAATAATGCCCAATCACGTGAGTCATGAGAAAAGCATGCCCAGGGTTGGTTGCATGGTCAGAGAAAGTACAGATGGGGCACATTACTTTTATTCAAGATTTCCATCTTCCATTTTCTTTTTCTCTGATTTAAAATTATTTCATTACTTTTAAAAAAGAACACTTTTCAGCTGCTCTTATCCTGTCATTGCCAAATAATTTCAAACTTCCTTCTTCTTTTGCTTTATGGTCAGATTCCAGCCTTTGATATATTCCGTGGGCGCTTTCTTTTAATATTGAAGGCTGAAGTGGAATAAAGTGTTGAGGTAGAGATAAAGGTGTTTGCAAAAGCATGGAAGGTCAGAGAACTGAGGTGGCCTGTCTGACCTTCACACACACTTTTTTCATACTGAGCCACTGCAAGGCACAGATGACATTGAAATACTCTATCGACCGTGAGTCAAGCTGTGCATGTGAAAAAGCCTGGCACAACGACGCATTACTCACCAAACATGACATTTCGCCGCTATGAATTTCAGACAGAGTTGTGCACAACATAGTGTAATTATTTGTGTTGCTGTGATGAATGCAGCCACAAGAGCATGAAAGCAGTTTCTCTTTAAGACATTTGCTTCAGTCATTCCTACCAATAAACAACAGGAAATTTATTAATCTCTTGCAATAATCGGAACATAAAATATACTGTTAAACATTTCATTTTTTTTTTTTTTATTACAAAATACCTTTTGTTATTGGTCTATTTTTTTTTTCAAATGCCAGTAGGCACACTGCAGTTTTTCTGACCTTTTAACTCCTAAACATGATTAAAATTCCCAATACACTGTGGTTTGATATAATTACTAAGCAAGTAAGACTGGGAGAAAGATAGAGTGCCTTATTGCCGAAGTGATTGATCCATTCTGTAAGGTGGTGCTGCATACAGTCCAGAGGATTACGCATTTGTGCCATTTATGCAGGGAGCCTTATACAGGTATTGAAATATAATACTACACTTTGTCACACATGTCAAAATGTTTCGTAATGTTACAGTAAAGCACATGTACTTTTTTTCCCCCCCGCAGCCTGAAAATGAATTTGACTGAACTTTTTAGGTTTGTTAGCAATGCATAAAAGAATCCTGTTTCCTAATTACTAATATATATATATATATATATATATTAAAAAAAAAAATTATACAGTGGTTTCCACTTTTATCAGTTTGAACAACAACATATGCAACTATAAACAGAATGGTAATGTGCAGCTATCATACTGTTCAAGAAGGAGATGGGTTATGTGTTGCAAAATGTGCATATCAAGTAGAAAGGAAAATCTGGGTAAAAAGAAACCCTGAATTTAAAAGCCATAAATTCAAGCAGCGAGGGACCTTAATTATTAGACATGATCACAATGTGATTAAAGTTTTCAGTCATTATGGCTATCAATGAATTGAGGAAAAAGTTGGACCTGAGAACACCATTCCAATTGTGAAGCATGGAAGTGGTAGCATTATGTAATGATTGTAGTCAGTTCTTCACAAAATGCATGATATTAAGAATCAATGACATCACAAATTAGAATATCAGCTTAGACGTATAAATCTAAGCAAAAGTGGGTTTTCCAAATAAACATTTACCCCATGCATATCACCAAATTAGAGATTGGCCTGTGGGGTTCAAAGTCAGGGATTTGTACAGGATATCACAAAGATCTGGGGTCTGATTTATCAAGCTTGCATTGGGATAAAATGAGACCTGAAACCTTTGTATGTCACTTTCCCTGCAAAGGTTGTGATCTGTCAGAAACAAACTTGGCATGGAAATGTGAGGTCCTTCAAACAAAATCTGACCCATGTATTCAAACATTATGGAGAAAGGGAGAAAACTGCAACAAAGATGGAGAGGTGGAGAACCTAAGCCAGATTTAGTCTTCTCTGATGTTTCATATCAGTTTATTTAAGTGCAACTCATGCTCGCACTAGTTACGCACAGCTCAAATCCTTAATCAAGCACATGCAACACGTAAATGTTTGCTCACCATCACATTCATCTCCCTGATGATCAACAATATGATCAGTACAATCATTTAAGCATTTGTGAGGCAATCACACCGAATGCTCTTAGCATTTTACACCCGTGACACCCATGTGTAATATTGAGCGTAGGATGCTGCTCTGCTGGACTTGGAAAATGGGAGATTTAGGATTCTCTTGCCTCATGGTAATAACTGGTTTATCAGCTGATCAGACTTTATAGACCATAGACCTTTTCAGCAGGAGGTCAGTGTGCACTACTTCAATGTCTTAAAACAACAGAAGGGTAGCTGGCTGCACAGCTCTAAAAGAATGAAAATAAATATTGATAATTAGTATTCTGTTGTACATAAAATTTCATATACATTTAAAAAACTGTAGTTATATATTCATTTTTTATTATGAGTGTTAAATAAACATGGCTTCAGGCCACATTTTAATAAAGATCAAATAAAACCTGCTCATCTATAGTTAGATTGGGAGTATCTAAATATTATATGCTGATGTAACTGATCCTTTTTTTTTTTGTTCACAAAAAAATCTTAAAACTAGCTTGGTGGCCAGTTTAACCAGATTTCAGGCTTTCTTTATGTTTTATTTTAATAATTAAATGCAGCTGTTAACCAGGGGTTTCACTCAGCTATTACCTACTCAAACGGTCGGACAAGTGTTTAACACTTGATTCTCTACTTGAACCGACTTTTAGAAAGAAAATACCTTATCCATAAAACTGAGGCATTACAGCCAGCCCATTGCTGAATGCTGCATTAGATGTCCTTTTATATATGATCAGTCCCTATCAGACTCTGTCATTCATTATACTTTCTTTTATTTGTCTCCCCTCTACCGTGGCAACCATACACATTGATCTGGATATCCACCTCACTCACCACCACATCTATGTTAGCCTTAGTTTTTTTTTTACTTTACCTGTGGTTACTATTAGTAACCATGAAATAACATTGATCAGATACTCTGACATTTTATGCGTTGCTTTGCATGGACCGGTTATTGCTGAATGTCAGCCGTGTAGAGGCCTGAACATTCTGTGGAGCCTCGTGCACACACTTATACGCATCAGTATGATTTATTGAGGAAATTGTTTTTTTTTTGTGCATGTACATTGTTTGAAAAATCTGAAATCTTCTTGCATATGCCATTTTCATATTTTATCATAGATCCCACACACTCTTTGATAAATGAGACCCCTAAACTCAATCAATAGAGACTTTTTGGACAGAACTGGCAACCTTGCTGTTATACCAGTTCTGTCAAGAAGAATGCGTGAGAATTTTCGGACAATTATTATTAGAAGGATCTTAAAGGCTTGTTTCAAGTTTGTAAGTTGTATTTTATTTAAGCTTTCATTAATCAATCTTAGACAAAGCCTCTTCTGCATGATCCAACAATAAACACATTAGTTCTCAATGCTCTGATTTACTGGTTTAAGGGAACAATGTGCAGGGTTTTGAATTTAGCGATTTAGCAGTTTCCAATTGGAACAATTAAGGCTCAACAGACATTCTTATTCTTGTGCAGTTTGTACTGTAAATTAGCTAATAGATGTCTAGCCAACGGCTCAACACAGCAATTGCAGAGATTTCTGTTTTCATCAAGACAATTGTCCTTGGAGTCATTGATTATCTGATGTCTGCCAGACCTGATTTTTAACTGTGTGGTTTATTCTCCAATGGCTAATTAGCTTGTTTCATATGGTTAGTGAAATGTTCAAACCTTGGCCAAGCATAGGGTACACTTTTATTTCCTTTAGACTAATCTGTCCTGCACCTCACAGTTCTGCATAATTAATCATATGTCGCTAGAAATTCTTGTTGTACAACAGGAAAGGTTTCTGTTTATAACACTGTATATTCTCTTCTCACTGTTTCACAGACCGACAATTTCCCCACTGAGCCTAATTATATGGGTAGCAGACAACAGTTTGTTCAAAGGTAAGACCTGGTGTCTATTAGTAATCACTACTTTTTAGATCTCTGTTTTCAATTCACTCCCTGTTACTAGAAATGACTAGAGTATTAATTTGGCAATTACATCTAAAAGCGTTTATATTGATGTTTACTTGTCTGTTTTTTTTTTTCTTTAGTAGTTCAACATTCAAAGACCCAGAGCGAGCCAGCCTCAGAGACAGCGGCCATGGTGACAGCGACCAGGCTGACAGCGACCAGGACACCAACAAAGGCTCCTGCTGTGATATGTCTGCAAAAGAAGCTCTCAAGCTGAAGGCTGCAGGTGTGAAACCCCCACCCCTGGAGCAAGGTGAGCCTCCCTGGCACATCTAAGCAGACGGGACAAAAAAAGAGCCAGAAAACTGTGACCAAACACAAACTTTTTTTGTCATTGTCCGAACACACGTAGTAGGAAACTCCATTGTGCTACCTTACCTTTCTTTGTTCTCTGCTCTTTTCTCATTTAATGTCGATTCAGTGAACATGGTCTGGAGGGTGTGACTGTGTGTGCATGCTACCCACAGCTCAGTTTATCAAAGCAGACAAGCCCATTATGTTTTTATAAGCTCAACTACTTCAACCTCTCCTTTTAGTCCCCTTGCTCTCAGCGCCCATCTCTAAAACTTTGATAATGGAACATGGAAAATGACTTAGAGAACAGCAGGCGATGTAGCCTTCTATTTGGTGATTAAATATGAATAATTATTCCAAGCACTGTTGGTCGGACAGATTACACCTGACATGTGTAGAACAATAACTTCCCAGATATGAGTTGTTACAGTCGCCCCCTGCAACATCACATGATTAGTGCATTGTCTCAGGGAGGCAAGAAATGTAAGATATACATGGAGTAGGTAAAAAAGAGGAAATGTAAAAGGAGATATATTGTGATTCTAGCAGCTTTAACCGGAGATTTGCTCTGTTGCGCACCATTACCTGCTTAACATAATGGAAGTTGCAGGAAAACACAAATTTACTGAAACATCTACACTGAAAAGTTTGTATCTTGCTGACATGATCATGAAGAATGGTCTTGTGTACTGAACATGGATTCTCCATAATGGTGCTATTAATCCAGGGAACAGAAGGGCTGCTTTACTCCGTACGGAAGGACAATGAAAATTTGTGCAACACTCTGTGCTGCAATATGCGGGTCTGACGAGATAGCATTTTTTTCCCTTTCATTGGTTTTTAGATTTTAAAAAAAAGCCACACATGTTGGCAAGAGAAATTGGCCAATTAAAAAGCTCCATATGTTTCTCATTTTGAAAATGTTCTCATTTAATTGTCCATAAGGGACTAAAATGATCACATTTATACACATAAAAGCACATGACAAAAGTATGACATTGTTTTTAGGTTTTTGATAGTTGTCTGTGCCCTGGTAGGTGCAACTTTTAAATACGGTAAGCTCCCTTTGTGTGAGGTCCTTTAGCAGTACAAGTTAGGTCCTGAACAACAAATCCCACTCACACACACGTTTACTCACACTCAAGCTGGGTAACTTGGTGAAAGGGTGTAATCTGTAAGTTCCCCCCCCTTCCTCCTTGAAACCCGCTCCATTTCTTCCTGTCTACTTGTTTGGGGAAATCTCCTGATGGGAGATTAGACAGTTAACTGACAGCAGCTGGCTGTGTTTTGTCAATAACAGAGGGGTTTAGCTAAGGTTTAGCGGAGGCATTCAAGGTGCATCTTTTTTTTTTTGTAGAGAAATTGCACAATGGGCTTTTTGTTATGGGCAAGCATTGAAGTTCAGGAAGAGTAGTTAACACTTAGAACATCAAGAGATTAAAATGTTTCATGCACTGGTTATGTTTTATTGAAGTTAACTTGTGATAACCTTGGAGGTTTGAAATAATAGACTTCATACATATGTACATGAAGCATTCTCCTGTTTATTTACTCAAAAGGTAATGGGTTAAAGAAGCTTCACACGGTTCAATATCCCAGTTTTTTTCCTGTACATCTAAGCACTTAGCGTACAGTTCATAGGTCTTTCTTCTCTACCCACCACTACAACCTTCCCTCTATCCCATCTTAAGACCTCTGTTTTACACTAAGCATAGCCCTCCCAATTACTCTGTAGCTCTCTTTACTTTCCTGCCAGAACACTGTGGCCTCTTTTACTGCTTCAGTATAAACAGAACTCCAAGTGCACAGAGCATGTAGTTCAAGTCCCAATCAATCCCCACCTCAGTTTCCGTTCTTAGCCTGAAAGAAGCCAAGTTTTCTCTTTTTTGACCCTACTTTTGAAACCCTCTTTAGGATTTTTTTTCTCCTAATATTCTTCCTCCTACAAACTTTCTGGATGTGTGTTGTCCTGCAGTAAAAAAGGTTTAGTTCAACAAACTCCCTCCCTTATAGAATGCGGTTTAGCATAGTTTCCATCTACACTACATAATCTGGCTATCTTAGCACCACAGCTCAGTCTCAAATTGATTAATTAGTCGCACAAAATTAGTAGCAATGTATTAATTAAGCTTAAGTATATCAAAGGCATTTTTTGCCAGTTTTAAACAGAGATTAATTGCTCCAACGTGCCTGCAGCCGACATTAATACGGTCTTGTCTGGCTCTGCCGGAGAGGCTGGCAGCACATCGCTCGCCTCTGTGGAGATGACTGCCACAGTTGCTATCATGAACAGACACGCGGCAGTGGTGTTGGGAGATGTAACCCACTGATAGGGCTGTCCAAGCAAATGGAGCGGGAGCAAGAAGGACGGCGGGGGATGGCAATGGGGGATGGACCACGGAGAGGAATGGACACTGTTTGAGTGTACCACCTGACCTATCTAATTATCTGCGACTGGATTATGATAATCATACCGCCTCCTGTTTTGTTTCAGAAATGGGAGGGATTAGTGGGACTGGGGTGGTAGTGTGGGGGGATAATGTGAAACTACAAGGACAGTGCGGATGCTGTGAGAAGACAGCATGATTTGTGTTCCTATGACAGCACTGTGAAAGGTGATGAAATGGAATTTCTCAGGTATTTTTGGCTTTATCCACCCGCACATTTTCCACCAGCATATAAATCTGATGATTAAGGGAAATACCAAGACTGGTCAGTTATTTTCACCGATGCAAGTCCTCCCTCAAATGTATATAAACACAAATATGTAGCTGGTATGTAGACAAGTAGTTTGAAATTATATTACAAATATTTAACCTAACAAAACTTTAAATTATCCTCATTTAAACACATTAGACAAAGATTTTTGTGTTCTTTTTGTTTTTGTTTTTTACAACAAATACTTATCAATAACTGTAACTGAAAGATTTATGCATTTTATCTTACATAGATCCTGTAGGCTGTGTTTCTTATGTTTTCTTTTGAATCAGTGATGTAATACGAAGGGTGAATTCCATGTTGTAAGAACAACACAAAACGTAGTGCTTACAATATTTCATAGAAATGTGCTTCTGTGGGTGATGTTTGAATGTCCATTCATCCCTTTACACAATTGTGTTTCTAATTTCAAAAGTAGCGTTTTCAGCTGTCTGTGGCAGCGCGGTGCAACAGGCACACCAGAATATTTAGTGTTAAATAGAATTTCATTGCAGTGGAATTTCCAGACCTCATTGTGTAGCTTGATTGTTTCCAAACTCCAAAAAAATTATTAACTTTGCATACAGTCCTTTGTAAAATGATAATTCATTTTGTTTCATATATATTTTTAAGTGTTTTCAAAGAAAAAGTAAAACATAATCATCGTAGTAAATAAAAGTAACCCTTTTTCACTTGAGACAATCATAATCATCAATTTCTAGTACTACAATAACTTTCCCTACTCCCCAGGATTCTTTTTTTTTTTTATTCAAAGCAATTAATTTTGCACTATAGGTGAACCTTTCATTTAAAATAAAATGCAGTTGCAAGATTAAGTGACTGGTCAGAAGTTAGATCAGATGCCCTTTTCAATCATGTAGCCATGGAAACTCTTTTTTACTTTGGCTTTCAGTAAACCTTTATCTGACTGTTGGAAAAGTGAATTCCATCAAACATCAGTCATACTTCATGGTCAGATAATGTATTCGTTGTATGAATGCTTTGAATTTAGATTTAAATGCATCCCAGTCTGTATTTTATAGCTTTCATTATTGACAAGCAGCATTTTAATAGAAATACTCCTCTCAGCAGAGTATGTAGAAGTCATTCACTTATATGTTTTATTTTTGTTGTATTTATGTTTAGAATTGTTTTAATAGAAAAAGAAAACACTTTCATTTGGGCTCAGCAGTCGTACTAACTCAAAGAAAATTGAGTGCACGTTTCACGTTGTTATTAGCTACATTAGGGAAGAATGTATTTGCATAAACATTGCCATTTGCTCCATTTGAGATGTGTCAATAATGGTTTAGGATGAATAAGTTCTTATCTTTCCAATTTATTTCATCTGTGTTCCCTTTTACGGATAAGCATAGTTAATAGTGAATGTTTCAGTACCATCATGAAAGAAAAGGGAAAGAGAAAAGAGAGAAGCAAGCTGAAAAGCGAGCGGGGAAAAAACGTTTTAGACTCTGCTCAAGTGAATTCTGAAAACAACAAATGAACAAAGCAACATGCAATCTGGCTGCTGAATGACAGGCTGCTTGAAGACGCACATCTTCTGAAACACTTCCAGTAAGCTTTGAATCCAAAGTGGCATTGTGATCGAGCCATGGCACTGCCAGGATGTGACTCAGTCATATCATGCGGACAGGGAGGCTGACTTTTTGACATTTACTCATCTGATGAAAATTTGAAAAGCAACAGTTCCCTTTCTTGTGAGGGTCCCGAAAGTGATGGCTCACGACACAATAAAATACACAGTTCTCATTCCTTATTGCCATTTTAACAGCCATCATATTTTTATGCTTTAATATCGGAGATTATATTAAAGCTTTTCCATTATTTTCTGGCCTTCTTTCTAAAGCAACCCCTGTCACAGAAACCTTAAAGATGGATATTTGAAGTACTTTATGCAACTTTTTTGCTGATAATACCAATTAATCTTCCAGTTGCGCAAGATGCAGGTATCTGTCAAGTCCTGGAAATTGAAATAAATCTACAGCTATCATAGGATCACTGTAGTGCTTAATTGTCCTGGTCCCAGGGTAGAGGGGACCGGTACCAGCCCCTCGTATCTACTTAATGTTGAAAAAAATTGTTTTGCTTGACATTTTAGTCACATCAAATGCTTCCCAATCTCTCTATGCACTGGTATTCTATGCCCCATGCATTGCATTGAGGCGCTTATTATTATTGTCGCTAGTAAACTGACTCTGTCTTTGTATAGTACTCTTTTTCCGTCTACTTTAATGGGACCGG